AGACATACATACATACTTACTATATATATATATATACATGTATATATTTATATACGTATACATATATATATATAGATAGATATATATATATATATATTACGTTTATCATCATATACATAAATAAATATATATGAGCTGCGCACTGTATACCTGCATATACATACACATATACATATATGCATACATAGACACATATACATAGATACATACATATTCACATACATGCATAGATACATACATATATACATACACACATATACATAGACACATACATACATATATACATACTCACACATAAAAATGAATGTCAAGTCTTCTGAGAGTGTCCGCCTCCGCCGCCACAGCAGCACGGCACAGTCTCAGATCAATTCCATCAGCATACAACAGAATGGAAGCTCATACACACATACACCTATGTGACTACATGCACAAGCACACATACACGAACACAAAGCAAGAAGCAAGCACAGACACATATACACCTATGTGATTACATGCACAAGTACACATAACACGACCCGCACCCCATGCAGCTACACCATAAACCACATCACGCACGCTCACAAAGCACACCCACCTGCACACAACACAGGAAGAGAATGTCGTGTCTTCTGAGTCCCTCCCACTCAGCCGCTATAGCCGGACGGCACAGTCTCAGATCGATTGTGATATCTGCGCGCACGCGTCTGGGCCTGAAATGGCCCAGTTCCGGCTTCGCCACTTCGATGATGCTGTGGTGATAGTTATAGGGTGCGTGTAGGGTTAAGTGTGTGTTTGTGATATGACTGTGATTTGAGGTATAAAGGTACGTTTGTGAATAGGGGTATTCGGCGGTACTGTCATAATGTATATAGGATGCGTGTTGGGCATATGCATATTCAAGTATGCTGTGACTATAGTTTAAGATGCGTTTGGGTCCATAAATCTCCACCTGAAGTCAGGGTGTCCGTAACCAAAACTCCAGGTGTATCCAACCTGAGTCGAATTAGGCATCTCACACCAGGCAGGTCTGAATACCCAAACACATCGAGCATCCAGCGACATAGGTTATGTACCCGACATAAACAGACAATATATAACTCAGAGGTATGAGCTTGACTACTTCAAAGTACACCCACAGACACAAACTCTAGTCTAATTGAATATACACCCCAGAGGTACACACTTAGTCACTTACATATACACCCCAGAGCTACACACTTCACCTATCATCTATATACACTATATACACCCCAGAGCTACACACTTCACCTATCACATGTAGATACATCTTTGTGCACTATATACACCCCAGAGCTACACACTTCACTTATCACATGTATATACATCTATGTACATTATATACACCCCAGAGGTACAATAATAATCACTAATCGCTTACATATACACTCCAGAGCTACACACTTCACCTATCACATGTATATACATCAATGCACACTATATACACCCCAGAGGTACAATAAGAATCACTAATCGCTTACATATACACCCCAGAGCTACACACTTCACCTATCACATGTATATACATCTATGTACACTATATACGCCCCAGAGGTACAAACATAATCATTTACATATACACCCCAGAGCTACACACTCACCTATCACATGTATATACATCTATGTACACTATATACACCCCAGAGGTACAAACATAATCACTTACATATACACCTCAGAGCTACACACTTCATCTATCACTTGTATATACATCTCATGCATATACATTTATGTACACTATATGCCCGTCGTAACACGCACCTAAAGTCGCTGGTGGGCATTGCCATTCTAGACCACCCGTCGAATTGTACCAAATTGTCGCCATCCAAACGCGCCGGCATTCGCTTGACACTATCGATGATGTCTTCTCTAATCTCGAAAGTGCTCTCCAATCGGAATAGATTCAGGTTCCTGAAAACATTAAAAATCGGGATCATTTTTATGTATGGTTGGGACGGGGTTTAAATTCAGGACTGATCACCAATCGGAATGGATCCAGATACGTGAAACGAGAGAACTGGGCCAATTCCCGTACAACCGGACTTGTATTTGTAGTATCTCCCAAACACGACACGCCTTACTTCACAACACTTTAATGTGTGACATGCAGAAACGCATTGCAACAGGTTCACGCACCTTAGTAGATAGTCGTGGAACGTGAGAAACTGTAGATTGAGCTTAGGAAGGGCCAGTACTCCTTCGGAATAGTACTCATCCGGTACTACATTCGGATCAAACAGTGTCTGCTCTGACGGATATAACGCTGTTTCGTTCAACGCGGTGATCTGACTCGTCCTGGTCTGTATTCGGGAAAACATAAATTTTGAATGTCGGATATACACTTTATATATAAATATATATATATATC